TTTCAGCAAGAATGGTCATCTGCCTATTGCTAAGTCTTAATGACTCTTCCTTCAGTACTGCTGCCATGCTCATCATACACTCCACTTTCTTGAATTATCTGTACGTCACATAGATGGACTAGGTATGGTCTATGCACAGTTTGCAGATAGCACAATCCAATGTTCTGGAATTCCCAATCTTTGCAATGTTATTGATTATTTGTTTTTATCCACCCAGTTGAATGCGTAGTCTATAAAGCACGGGCAAACTCATTCTGATATTATCTTCTGTCAGCCAAGAACTATATGATCTCAGTAAGGATGTCCCCCATGTGTCCTCTTTTAAATCTAGTTTGAATTCCTAGCATTTCTCTTGGCTTACCACTGTCAATCTATTAATTATCTTTAGTTAACACTCGCAATATTAATGATATTGTTCAATAATATTCATATTCTTTTGGATCAATTTTTTTTAATGGACTCAAATATGTATCTTTTTCTGTGTGTTGGCCAGGTAGGTGTCTTCAAATTTCTTGGTATAGTCTAATGAATGCTTCCAGCCTTGCATACATTTGTTGATGCATCTCAATTAATAGTCTATCAATTCCTAGGGTTTTTTCATTGTTGTCATTTGGTTTGTGTGTATATGTGTTTTTGTCTTGTTTTCTTTTGTTGTCAATATCTTTGATATAACTAGGACCTCTTCCTTCACTGCAATCAGTTCTTCAATCTCCTGCTACCTCATAAAATGGATGAATAACAGCCAATTATTTTTGTACGGTGACTGTGTATTCATTCTTTTAATAATTCCTATGTTGTTCAGTATTTTGTACACAGAATACTTCACATTTTTTCTGTGGTTTTTTCCATTTGAGAATGCTAAGCATGTTCTTCCCTTTTGAGTTTCTAATTCCATATCTTTTCACATTTCATTATTATACTTTACTATGCCTTCTTGAGCTTCCCTTTGAAATCTTCTGTTTTCTCTTTCACATAATCTTTTTTGTCTGCACTTTATTAGCTACTCTTTATTCAAAAATACATTTCAGAGTCTTATGATATCCAGTTTTTTCTTTTCTTTCTGTGCCGTCCTTTCAATGACCTATTGTTTTCTTAATTTTTGATATCCTTGATAGCATGCCACAACCCTTTTTGGTGTTTGATCATTAGTGTTTAATTGACATTTATTGTAACAAAGACTTCCATTTTACTTCAATAAAATCCATCACTTTCACTGTTGCTTTGAAAAAATTAACTCAAATTTAAGTCTATATGACAATGAAGTGGGAAATGCCTTTTAATACATCATTGGAAATTTAGCAATATTCTAAAGATGAATACCTACCTCAGGCCCTGTGATGTGCATCAAACCAGAAACAGCAGAAGCAACTGCATCATAACCAGCTCGTTGAGACATTGGACCTGTCTGACCATACCCTAAAACAACAAGAACAACACAAATATTCAACACCACAGATGAAGATCCAATAAGTGTATTAAAATCATTTGTATCCATAAATCTTGCAGCATTTATTTCTATTAAATCTACACTCTCCCTTCAAAGGACACTGTAAAAATTAATTATGATGTTCTACTTCCAAGGCGACCATCTCGCTGACTCGTTACTATCTTTGGTTCAACCTGATTCACTCATCTAACTTACTTTCGGGACATTATAGTGGTGTTTGCTACTCTTGATCTATCCAAAATAATGTACAAAACAAAATTAATATGTAACCCAAGTTTCTATGGACACTCTGTGCTAGGTATTGGGCTGCTAACCACAAAGTCCAGGTGAAAAAGATGTGGCTGTCCACTTCCATAAAGATCTATAGTCTCAAAAACCCTATATTGGGCCACTATGAGAATCAATGTAGGCAGTGGGTTGGTTTTGTTTCTATTTACAAATTTTCTCAAGTATTCAGAGAAGGTACACATGATGACTTTTTTAATTTGTACATAAATAAAACAAGTACATTACCTAATATTTTAGTGTTAGTATTTCCTATATAAAGTGTCACTTGATTGTTTGTCATCAAGATGCCCAAGGATACAAGAAATGTTTTTTTCTTTTCTCTGCAGTCCTGTACTTATTGATGAATTAAGGTTATATCAGGAGCTACAAAATTCTGTCTTTAAATCCCATATGTAAACCAGAGAAACTCTCTGAGAGAGTAGCCATATACAACCATCTAGAGAGAGCCTCTACAACCATCCGCTATGTGCTGAAATTCCCTTTAATCCTCAGTTTCAGGAAGATCAAGAAAGGGCTACTTCAGGGTCTTTCTACCACCTGGAATGCTCTCTTTCCAACTAACTCACTCTTTTTCTTCATGTGTCTCACCCTTTTCCATTTGCTAGGGCTCTACTCAGATGTCTCCTTACCAAAGAGACCTTCCCTAATAACTTTGTACACTATTACCGTATATTTGTTTTCTAGCCCTTTTCACCACAAGATATATAACGCTATTTATTGATTGATTGAATTTATGTTCTTGGGCTAATCTGGGTACATTTGAGAAACAAATCCACAGAAACTCATATGTCTATAAGAAAGATTTTTATATAAAGGGTAAGTGTACATTAAGAAAGCATCCTAACCCACTGCTGTCCAAGCTCATAAATCCAACATTAGCCCATATGTCCAATACCAATCTACAAAGTCCTCCTCAATCTCACAAAACACACACAATGGTGCTGACTGCAGGAGGAAAGCTGAATCAGTGTGTGTGTAAGCATCTCAGCGCTGGCAGGGAGCTCCACGCAGCTGCTCCAGCACCCAGGGTTGCATCAGGGTAGGTTCATGTGGCTTCTCCTCAGGGATGTCTCACAGGAAGTGAGCCTTGCCAGCTGAAGCAGGGAACTGGTTAAGGCAGCTGCACCCTAGTCCAACCATCAGAGAGCAAGAGACCCAAGAACTAGAGAGGCAAGGCTCATAAGCCATATCTCTCCGCTCCTCAATTAATCCCACATGTGTTCATCGGCCAGGTTGGCACAATAAACCTTAAATATCTCAGTTCTCTTCCTACTAAAATGTAAGCTCTGGAATTTTACTGGGTTTTTCTTTTTGTTTGTTTGTTTCCGGTTTGGTTCACTGTTTTAGACTCAATTTCTAGAGTAGTGCCTGGCATAGAGTAAGGATTCAATAACATTTGTTGAACGAATAAATATCCATATAAAATTATCTTCTCAAAGCTCTAGATAAAGACATGTACATATGCAAATATATGAGGATGGGGAAATAGATCTATGAGCCTACATTTATAGGTTTAGTATTAAGGTAGCAGAAGGACATTGGGCCTCCACTCAAGTAC